GACTCTTATGGTAATACCAAACTGGCATAATTACTATGGTTTTTGGTAAGCTTTATAGTAAGCCTTGATGTTTAGAAGTCCAAGTCCTCCAGCTCTCTTGTTTTAAAGATTGCTTTAACTATTCTTGATCCTTGGCATGCCTCTCTTGATTCCTTTTAACCTTTTAAAAATTAATCTTAGCCCAGCCAGAGTGGCTCAGTGGGTTGAGCATTGGTCTGTGCACCAAAAGGTTTCCAGTTTGATTCCCTGTCAGGGCACATAACCTGGGTTGTGGGTTCAATCCCCAGTTGGGGCACATACAGAAGGCAACCAATCAGTTTTCTCTCTTACATCGATGTTTCTCTCTCTGTCCCTTCCTCTAAGCATATCCTCAGGTGAGGATTAAAAAGCAAACAAACAAACAAAAAATTTGTCTTAATTTTAAGTAGAGCAGCATTTTGAATATTTGTGAAAATTTTACCTCAATTCTCTGTAACTTGATGTAGCTTGGTTCTATCTGTGATAACTTTCTTTCCTAGTTTACTAGATAAATAATGGATAAATACAAAAGAAAACTCGTGTGCATTTATATTTACTGTGCTTCATTTTGCTTCACAAGTGTGTATAACAGGATAAAAAATAAATCCAGGCAAAAAGGAAATAAGTGTAAGAGTATAATATAAAACAATAGGTAAGGTTAATTCAGCCCTGCTTTTTTTTGGGGGACAGAGTTAGGACAGAAACTTTGACTCTCATTTTACTGGAGTCAATGCAAAGAGAATCAGTTATGAGATTCATCGTATCCATAATATGAAAGCAAACCAGTTGCTCTAAAGGACAGAACCAGGTTTTCCTGGTTCTGAAAATTGAAGATGTGATTTTCCCCTCCATTGGATTTAAAAGGGGATAATGTAGTCTAGCAGCATTTTCAGTAACATTTTGGACGTAACTCCAAAGTGCAGTGCAGTTTACCTGAACACAGTTCTGTGAAATCAACAATATGGTATAAATCTGTGGTTTTCTGATTGTCTGACTTGATCCAAGGATAAAATTTAGAATTAAATAATGGGCTATTTTTTATTCTAAAAAATAAAACGTGTATCTCTCAAGTAATTCTTCATGAACACAAATTTGTGTATATATGTTTCTCTTAAAAATGTTTTTCCTGAGAATTAAACAGAAACTTTAGGATTTATTCTTTAGCAAGGACCTTGTATCATTCATTAAAGCAGAAACTGTGTGAGTTGATATCCTTCAATGATAATATCTCATAGTAACACTTTATTGCCAGGTACTGTAATCAGTTTTTCTCTTTGCAATTTTTTGTTGAATTCTCACAACAACTCCTTGGAAGTAGGAACTATGGTTATCCCTATTTAACAGATGAAAAAAGACAGATAAGAAATAAGTTGCTTGCCCGGCTGGGTGTGGCTCAGCGGTTGAGCGTCGACCTAGGATCCAGGCGATCGGGGTTCGATTCCCAGTCAGGGCACATGCCCGATTGCGGGCTTGATCAATGACCCTTTCATCATTGATGTTTCTCTCTCTCTCCCTTTCCTTTCCTCTCTCTGAAATCAATAAAGATATATTTAAAAAAAGAAAAAAAAGAAAGAAATAAGTTGCTAAATGTTATGCTCCAAGCAAGTAATAGAATCAGGATTCAGTTTCCAGCAATTCTGCCTCAGTTTCTACTACTTGGTAATGCTGATGAAAATGAAGAAGCCTAATGCAGGATTGGTACCTGAATTAGGAGGTTAGGAAATTTAGATAGAGCTAAGATTTTCTTCAAGAAACAGTTTCTAAGTCTACTCTTTTAGATGGATGGATGAAGAAAACTATGTTGTACTTTGACAAGTTTTGCTTGAGATAAATTTGTTTTGTATTTCCTTAGCTTCCTTTTTCCTTATTTGTACTTAAGTAAGTCCAATCTTCTGAATAACTATTGTTGAATATAGTCATTATCTTGGATATTATCACGTTTGCTTTTGTTTGATGAATATTAAGCTTTCAGGGAACCAAGTGGCTTGTCTGGATAGATTGTTGTTCTTATAAATTACTGAAATATAAGTAAGTTAAGTTGCTTTAATGCCTTCTATAAAGTCAATTTTGGATGTGTGTCTTTTTGAAAATGCAGTTTTAAAATATTTTCTGCAGTTTTCTTAAGATGCATGATCTATTTGAAATTATTTACTTGAAACTAGGAAAAAATGTCCAGTATTTTTTTTGCAGCTGGCATTCCTGAAAGCTGAATGAAAATTGCAGAGCCAATTTCATCATATTATGACACTTATACTTTTGTCAAAATTCTTGCATTTTAATGCTTGTTTGTGCACATTGGTTTTGAAATGAACCCAGTAATTTATGTTTGAAATTGCTTTAATTTTACAAATAAGAAGTAACTAAATTCTATAGGTTTATTTCTATCTATAGTAATCTGACTATAAAGAAAATGTACTTAAAATTTTAACAAATTTTTATGTTAATTTTCAGGTTGAAGGTTTAGACAGATGTGGAAAGATGTTCACTTCAGAAAAAGGGGTTGTGGAGGAATGGTTGTCAGAATTTAAGGTAATATTTGTTGTAATATAATAATTATATTCCAAGGAAGTTTTGTCTGAGGTTTAAATTCTAGTGGCTTTTAAAAAATATGACTGTAAAGCTAAATATTTGTGGAAGCAGAAGTATGTTCCAACAAATCTTAATAGGGAATTATTTACACACAGTAATCTTTTCTAGGAGATCAATTCCTTTTTCTTCCAAGTGGTTCAAACAGTTTGTTTTCTCTCTTTCATGGCAACACCACAAAGAATGGTTAAAGTGTCTGAATGTTGATGTCACTCTTTTCAGCCACCATTGAACTCCCAATTTGTGTAATGGGAGTGGACATGATCAACAATGAGGAGAAAAAAGGGAAGATATTTTTCAAACTTTTACCAGTGGGTCTTTCTCTCTAGTTGGCTAACCCAGTGACTATATAAGGGCTATATAACTTCTGGTTAGTTGAAGAAAATAAAACTGTTTTCTTGTTTCATGAACTTGTCTCTATGATAGTTAAAATTGTATTGCTTTAACCAGTTAATTAATTACCTTCTCCTTGTCTTCGGGTCTCATTGTTACACATAATTATGTGAACTTCATGATCATGAACCACAGGAACGAAGGGTTTGGGCTGCAACTGTCACTTTTTTTGTTCAGCCCTATCAGCCCATGACCTTCAAGGGACAGTCTGACAAAGTCAGACTTTTTGGCTTGTTTCAGTGAGGGAGACTACATAACAGATACCACACAGGCATCTTGCCAAACAAAGGAAAAGATAAAATTGTTATAGGATTTAGAGGAAGGGTGGAGTTCAGATGAAATTTAAATGAAGCTGTATTTTGATGGATTTAAAACAAAGCTGGGCTACTGTAAATGGGGTGAATATCTGGCCTCAACTTTGAAGTAGACCCAAGGTCCTGTTGTCTTGGAAACTACAAAGTTAACATTTATGTGGAATGTTGTGTTCAGAAACCCTCCTCTGAATCTGTACCTGGGTTAGAAATCGAGCCTGCTTCTCTGTGTCAAGGTGACTTAGATCCTCCAGGCAAGAGTGGGATGTTTCATTCTGACTGATACATGTTTAAACAGCAAAGTTTTTGATATCTATGATTTTAGATGATAAGGCTTCTCAGTGAGTAACAACATAGTAGTCACTTAAAAAAAGGAGGTTATTATGATACTTTTTGGCTACAGTGTGTCCTTGACAGAAACTGTGTTTCCTATTAAATTTGCAGCTGGCCTTCTCAGTCATTGTTACCGCATCCTGATGAATGAATGGCTGGGCAGATTATTACTTTTTCAGCTTTTATAGTCATGAATTGAGTATCCTTCTATGGAACCCCCAAGTAATCATAAAATGATGCAGAATATTATATAAGTGCACTGTATAAAGTACCTTCTACATATTGTATATAATAGTTTGATTAAATCTTATATGTGCCTTTTTTATGCATATCTTGTCTTTGTGAATTAAGTGTTCAAGGTGTTTTTAAGCTTTTTTCTGCTTTAAAAGTGTTTAATATGGTTTATTATATCATGATTTATCTATTTTTTTGGCAGTTTGATGGCAATTGTCAAGTTTAACGATTGAGTACCACTTCTAGGGCATTCTTATGTTTAATGAAGTCAAATTTGCAAAAGCAAATATACCCAGTTAGCCGTTATTTAATAGGGGAGTTATGTGAAGATGCCATGTTAAAAGATGGGGTAGAGCCCTAGCCAGTTTGCTCAGTGGCTAGAGCATCGGCCCGCGGACTGAAGGGTCCCGGGTTTGATTCTGGCCAAAGGCACCTTGGTTGCAGTCTTGATTCCTGGCCCCAGTAGGGGCTTGTGTGGGAGGCAACCAATCGATGTGTCTCCCTCACATCGATGTTTCTCTCTCTCTCCCTCCTTTCCATTCTCTCTGAAAAGCAATGGAAAAATATCCCCAGGTGAGGATTAAAAAAATAAATAAAATAAAAGATGGGATATAGAGAAGGGGTCGACTATTAAGGTAGATAATTGAAAATCATGACTGGTTCCCTTCCCTTCCCATCTATTTGTTTATTTTGTTCCCCTCCTGGCTCGACGATATAGATACCCTAGGAAGTGTAGCAGTGAGGGGTAAGAGGGCAGTGTAGCAGTAAAGGCAGGGATGTGCCCTAGTGTTTGAGGAAATGGGTTTGGGGGGGGAGGGTTGCAGAGATGGTATGTAGAAGAGTCAGCCAGAGTGGTTACTTTGCACAAATAAGTAATACGGAGGATAATGAGAGTTAGATTTCTCTGTGTGTGAGAAAGGAATTAGAAACATGGAATGGGGAAAGGCACGAAAGAACCCTAGAACCCTAAGATGTTGGATTGAAATTAGGAGAATCAGTATGAACTCATGGATCTAAATATGTATATGATATATTTACATGTATATATCCATACATACGTGCATACATATATTTCCTAGCTTTTTTCAGTAGAGGGCCAAGAACGGATGGCATCCAGTAGCAATGAGTACACCAAGCACACAGATCTTATTTATTTATTTATTTATTTATTTATTTATTTATTTATTTATTTATTTATTTAAAATATGTCTTTATTGATTTCAGAGAGAGGAAGGGAGAGGGAGAGAGAGATAGAAATATCAATGATGAGAGAGTCATTGATTGGCTGCCTCCTGCACGCCCTCCACTGAGGATCAAGCCTGCAACCTGGGCATGTGCCCTGACCGGCAATCAAACCTTGAGCTCCTGGATCCTAGGTTGATGTTCAACTACTGAGCCACGCCACCCAGGCAGATCTTGTTTTCTAAATACCATCTTCTATTTAAAGAAACTAGGATGTGAGAAGAAAAAGTATTATCTAAGTAATATTTTGTCAATAGAACATACGCAGGAAGGGGCAAAAGTAGTTTTCAGTTGATTGTATGGAAAATAATACAATAATAAATAATAATACAAGAATAAACTTTGTTTCACATACTCACAACTGTATAATTTCTTCTTCCCCACCCTGAATTATGTGGATAGTGATATTTTATTAGAATTTTTATAAATTTAATTCAAGGGTAAGGAAACTTTTCCATTGGAAGGAGAGGAGTGAAACCCTGGACCCCATGAAATAAAAAGTAATTTAACTTAATTTCCCCTAATCCTGCAAGATTAAAATTACCCAATTTTCAACCAATTTGATATAACAAGTATTTTAAATTATTGTCTAGTCTATATTATAGCCAGTTAAAGAGATGTTAGAGTATCTTGTTTTTTGAAATAATTTGTGATGTTAATTACAATTTTGGTTAAAATTTGGCAAAATTTGAAGACAGATGCTTCATACGAAAGTATCATTTGGCAGACAGTTTTTTAAAAATGTAAGGATGTGATATGGGTTGGGAAGAGAATTAATGAAGATAGACAGATGGGTGGAGAACCAATAAATAAAACAACTGTTCAAAAACATTACTCATAAGACTGGATTTTTGAGTCATATATATTTATATAAATATAAGTATATATTTAGAAAAAGCCTTTGCTTGGTTATTTAATTTAATAACCATGTGCTAACATGGCCATGGTCATCATGATTGGTAAAGTGGTACAAAGTATATTGGTCCGAGAAGTCAGAAACCCTTTGATCTAATTATAATTCTCCTGCTGGGTGGTTTTATGCTATTGGACAAATCGCCTAACTTCTTTGGGTCTCAATATTCTCATCAGAAAAAATTAAGTGTAGGTAGTCTGTGAAGACGGTTTTGGCTCTTTCTATCCTGTTCCATGGTCGCAGTCTGAACTCCCAACTTCACAACTTCATTCAACATTCTTTCAAATGTACAAAGACAACTCAATTTGCTTTGTGTAAATCTTATTTTTTCCCTTTGGACGAACCATTCAGTGTATACTCTGGCTTTGGGCTCTCGTTTTTAGTGCTCTTTACATACCAACAAAATTAGACTGGGACTTCATTATTTTAAGATTTCATGAATTTCAACCTCTAGCTTTTCAAATATTTATTTGTACCATGTTATCTTTAAGATTGCATTATTTTTTGTAATGCTATGTGTAAATTTATCTAGCAGATTTCCAGGCTCCAGACTCCTACTTTTTTCAATTTTCTGGTAGTCACTGAATCTCAATATGTAACTCAAATCCAGTCTTATGTGTAATGTTTTTGAACAGAGCTGTTTTATTTATTGGTTCTCCACCCATCTGTCTATCTTCATTAATTCTCTTTCACCCAACCCATATCACATCCTTACATTTAAAAAAACACCCATCTGCCAAATGATACTTTCGTATGAAGCATCTGTCTTCAAATTTTGCCAAGACTAATTTTCCAACATAATTTCTCATTATTACTTTTTTGTCTCCGGTTCTGTCTTCTGAAAAGTGTGAAAACTTAGCTGGTATTTAAGAAGGCCAATACCTTTGAACTGATACAGTGCAGGAAACTTTAAAGGTTTGCTGTAAAACTGTTTAAATCGTTAGGCTCTTTTAGATCTTGAGTTTTTCAAAGCACTGTTCATAAACACAATTATATCTTCTCCCCTTCTATAAACACAATTAACTTCTACATTCACAAAATAGAATAATAATAGAATTATGATAAAATGTAATAGTTCATAATACTAATTTTTAGGAGACCTGTCATTTAGCAGTAGTAGCCTAGGTCTAGGGTATATTCTAGAGCTTGTCTTTTCCAAAAAGAGATGTTTTTGTTTGTTTGTTTGTTTGTTTGTTTTGTCTTTGGCTGTTTCACAGAAAATATTTTACCTCATGAGGGTTAATTGGTACATAAACTAAAAATTATAGTTCACATTTTTAATGAATGCTCTTACTAGCCTAAATAGTATACATAGAATTATAATAATCTTTATTTTCACTATTTTTTTAAGATTTATGTTTCAATTCAGTTTTAAAATTTGTAGTTAGACACACATGTATACATATGTAAAATACTGTATTTTGAATATATAATTCAGGTTCATTTCCATCCAGGGGATTAAAAATCTGCTGTTTATTTGACTTATTCCCTTTATATAAATTCCCCCACTATTAGGTTACTCTTGATCAAATAACGGAAATGAAATGTTGCCTGGAGATCTTTTGTTACATGCTTTTGAAATATTGAAGAATGCCCTAATCTCCTCTTTATGTAAACAGGTGCAGTAAAACTCCCCCCCTCCACCACCACCCTCTAGAAAATGATAGAAGGTTCCCAGATAGTTCACATTTACTTACTAGTCTGCTGAACAAAACTCTTTTATTAAATTAAAAAAGAATCTATTCACTTACATAACCTAAGGTGAGATGTGACCTGTTTTTAAAGAATCTACCAAAGTGTAAACATTGACAGTATTCATTTCTTATTCTATTCACCTATAATTTCTTCAGCAAAAGTTTGAGTATGAGGCTGTGTGCTGAGTGCTGTGGATGGAGAGACGGTATAAGATCTTGTCCTCAAGGAGATCACAGTAAAGTAAAAATGAACCAGATATCCATATTATAAAAATTTATGCTGTTTAATTTTCTATGTGTATTTATGCACACATATACACCTATGTACACTAACCATAACCCACTTTAAATCATGAAATACTAGGATACGGGACATGTAAGAAACAGTATATCTTCGAATGACTGCTAGCAATATCTTGAGACATTATATCTACTGCCAGATTAACGTTTGTTGATTGATTGCTTGGAGAAAGTTATGTGCATGAGAAAGAATCATGACTTGGGAGACATATGTTGTTAAGGAAGGGGTATATTTTAGGAGGATAGGGTTTTATCCTTTGTTATGAAGTGTTTTGTTTTTGCTTTTCAGATTTTCCTACTACTTTTACCCCAAACCATCTGACTTACTCCTGGAGTTTTCTCTCTTTTCATTCCTCTCTTTTGTCATGATGTCCTTTCTGAATGGATGATGCTGGCAAGCTCTGATTAGTTGTCTGTATTTTAAATGATATTAGGAAAACTAGTTTGTTGGTAGTGTGGCTACCCTGTTCTGCAGTTCTGAGAAGTCTAAAATTTCTCCCCAATTCTATAAAGGAGAACAGCCATACCCAACTTAACAGTCACAATTGTAACTCAGGAGAGTTACTTTGATAATGATCTATAGCTTTCAGGTTTGAAACATTATTTGATCCATATATAACAATGTTCATTAATACAATGTTTATTAAAAAAGCAAGATTGAAAAAAAGCAAGATCAATATGGCTGATGAGATTTTTAGCTTATATAATGCTACAGAAAATGTATCTTTGGCTTACACATGGTCTATATGCTCATTTCTAACCCTACACTGTGATCAAAGATGAAGTGTTGTTAATTATGTCTCTGTTGATGATAAGAGGATTATCTATCTATCTATCTATCTATCTATCTATCTATCTATCTATCATCTATCTATCTATAGATATATATTGTGTTTTGTTTTTGCAGTTATTTTGTTGAGATATAATTCACATAACTTAAAATTTACTGTCTTAAGGTGAAAATGCAGTGGGTTTTAGTATATTCATAATGCTGTTCAACCAATACCAGCATCTAATTCTGGGACATTTCTATCACCTCAAAAAGAAACTCCATACCTGTTAGTCACTGTCAACTCTCCCATCCCCCAATCTCTGGCAACAGCTAGTCTACTTTCTGTCTATGAATTTGCCTATTTTGGACATTTCATAAAAATAAAATGTTTGGTTTTTTTTTAATTTGTTTAGACACTACCAGAAACATCTTTACCAAATTATGCCACAAATTTGAAAGATAAGAGTTCTTTAGTTTCATCTCTTTATAAAGTTATCCAGGAGCCACAAAGTGAGGTAAGTGCTCTTACAATTTATTGTATTAGTACTATTGATTGTACTAGTACAGTTGGTTGATTTTTAAATTTTCATTGTGAAATATAAATAAAAAGTGTAAGAAATAGTATGTGTTTAACCAACTATAGTGTACATTATGGAGTGTTTAGGTAATTACCTTTGAGAAATGGGGTGGAGGGAATAAGAGAAGAATACTTTGTTTAAAAATGGCAGAGTAAAAAAGAAATTATAATAAAATGAACTCCAGTGTACCCTCTCCCAGGCCAAGAAATAGAATTATACCATATTCCAAAAGCCATCTCTGAACATGTTCCTCCTGATTATCTATCTATCTATCTATCTATCTATCTATCTATCTATCTATCTATCTATCTATCTATCTATCATCTATCTATCTTACTTGAGGTAGCCTAGAAAAGTCTGGGTCACTACATTCTTTCACTCCTTCAGCAAATATTTGCCCTCTATGAGCTGGCTGTAATGCTAGGCAATAGAAAATCAAAGATGAGTAGCACATGGTCTTCATCTCAGAAGAGGAAAGGAGTAGAAAATAAGTAACATACTTTCAAGGCAAATTCCTAACTGATTCTAGATGAATGTGCTTGAATTTGCCAGGTGTGCAAGATAAAAGGACATTCCGAGCTGTAGGGCTAGTATACAGAGTCCTGAAAAAATGTAAGGCATTTACAGAAAGGCAAGCACTGGCTGGTGCTTTTCCCAGTCCTTCCTTTTTCCCTCTTCCATCTTTTCTTTTTTTTAGATAGAAAATTTAGGTTGAAGGTGATAAAATTATCTATACTCCAGATTCTGGTGCTTATAAATCTCACCATTCTTAGTAGAAATAGAAAAGGGTTAGAAATAGGGTAGAAAATAAAAAGGCATGGCATTTGGGAAAAAAGCAAATAGGCTAACACAACAGTTAACGAGAGAGGATAAGACTGGTAGGAACTGAGGTGGAAAGAGATTTTGGTTGTAACCATGGTGGATCTTGAAATCTGTCATAAGCAGTTTAGACTTTCTTTGCACTGAAGGGATGACTTGATTAGATTATTCTTTTAAGAAAGTGGCTACTCGAAAGATAGATTTGGAGAATGGATAGATGAGACTGACGAATGTCAGAGGGATGGAGGAGGGCAGGTGGGTGGAGGGGGAGAGAGTAACCAAAGAATTTATATGCATATATGCACAACCCAAGGACATGGACAGTGGTGGGGAGAGGGACTGGGGAGGGGGAAGGGACAGGGTGGAACAGGTCATTGGGGAGAAAAAGGGACATCTGTAATATTTTAAACAAATAAAAAAAATTGAAAGCAAGAGATTAGGCCGCTATGAAAATAGCCCAGGAGGGAGCTGTTGAAAACCTGACCTGGGGCGATGCCAGCTGGAATGAAAAGAGGTGGAGCAGAGGGGAGGAATGTGAGGTGTGTGATTCTTTTGTACTGATTTTGGAAGAAGACATGATAGGCTCGAACACTGCTAATCTCATTATTCTGGTAAAATAACTTATACTCTGGAGTTCAGTCCTCTATGGACCTATGTGCCTTTGGGATGAAACTATCAGAACTAGAGTCCTTGGTTATTTGAGTAGTTCACCTCTTTTGGAGGAGGTCTGGAATAACCCAGCTTCTGCTGAGTGTGCTGTGAAGTACATCATGAATTTTAGGTGCTGAAGGAAAGATTAGGAACTATAGTGACAAGCCAAAAAATGTTAGTTGGAATAACTGAATAGAATAATCATACTTTGCTTGTCCCTCCCTCTTCCCCAAAGCTACTTAATTTGTATAGTATGTGAAAGTTGTTTCCTTGAAGGGTTTTAGATTTTAGTGTGTTTGGGTAGAAGCTGTTTTCAAGTTTTCCATATTTAGTTGAGAATTATTTCACCAAGTACAAGTTTAGCTATGTGCTTTATTATTATTTTTAAACAAGTTAAATCTTGTTTATCATTTCATGATTAATATTTTTGAAAGACTTAAAAATTATTAAATTATTCTTCTGATGAAGTATGTTTTAACCAGGCTACCTTGGATAGAGTTTGTAAGGTAGTACAAACTAGCCTGATAGGAGACTAGTTTTACTGATAGGCTAGTTTGGTTCACAGCATTTCTTTTATTTAGATTGACAATGAATACAGCTCTAATGGTTCATAGCACTATTTCTCAAACTGTGGTGAAAGACCAGTTTTTAAAAATTTTCAATCTGTCACAGGATGTGTGTTCCTAATGTTCATGATGAACATGCAACTCACATCCCATGTGAGGCTCCACATGAATTCGATAACCCCTAATTGATCTATACTCTGTTGAATAAGTGCTGATCATCCACTTGGATGTTGTAGTAATATCAAGTTGCTATAAAAGTTTCTAAATTCTTCCTTTCAGTTTCTGTATTTATATTGTTGGGGACTGGTAGCAGTTTGTTTATGGTCTTTAGTCCATGGACCACACTTTCAGAAGCACAGATTTAGGAGGTTTTGCATGTAATTTTGTTTTATGGTTTTTGCCTGATCAATGTGGTGAAGACAGTATGTAATCTGTATTCTTAAAAGACAACTCTACTTTAAAAATTATATTTAGAAGTGCTTCTAAAATTTCACAGTGTAATCTACTTTAACATCACAACCTTCCTTTTGCTGTTTAGATTATTTGGAGATATTCCTAATGAGTTAATAACATTGTCTTTTGGCATTTTTGAAATTTGGGACATTGGTTCTGGTGTTCTTTGAAGTCTGGCAAATTTGGTATTTGGATTTTACTGATAGTACATTTTCATTATTCAGTTTAATTCATTTAATAAATATTTGTTGAACCCCAAAATGTTCCAGAAATAACTTAGAAATATAGTAGTGAACAAAATTGACTAAATTCTTGATCTTATGAGTTAGAATTCATACTCTGGTAAGTGGGATACATCAAACAAATATCTAAAGGTATAATACAATGCCAGTTCGTGATAAAACTATGGAGATAAATAAAGTGGAGTAGGGACTGAGGAGGTGATAGTTGAGTCAAGGTCTGAATGCGTGAGAGGGAGAAAAAAAACTGGGGGCAAGAGCTTTCCAGGAGAGGAAATAGAAACTGAAAAGGACCTGGGATAGGTGGTATGTATGGTATGCTCAAGAAACCATAAAGAGGCAGTTTATGGTATAGTGAAGTTTTCTTGACTGGTGCTTTTTAACTGACTTTTTGTAACTTAAAGATAGGCACATGATTGAAGGCTAACAATGCTCAGGTCTCTTAAGAAACCAGATGTTTTTTGAAAGCACCACATAAAGTCTCTTTAGTGTTCTAGGTGTAGGGAGCCCAAAGTGAAGAGAGGGTCAGTTCAATGGCTACTGGCACCTGAGTAGTAATTTCCTTCCTAGTTTTCTATATCTTTTTCCACCTTAGTAGTTCAATTAAAAAAAAATTATTTTTACAAGACTTTCTTGTAAAATTACCCAAACTTAACTCTTTCCCATCTTCTATTTCTGTTTTAGTCATTTAAAGGCATTTTAAAGTCACATTTCTATTACCATTAGAAATCTCTCTTAGGAGACAGACATTTTATAAATGGATTGTTGTAAAAGTTTATTTGTAACTTAGTTGTTTTAGAATGCAGACTGGAAAGAGGGTACATGATGACTAGGTTCTCGTTAGACCCATAAAAAGTCCATTTAGCATGTGAAAATATATGCGATGTGCAGTTCTCTCGTAATATACTATAAAACCTACCCGCCAAGTACAACAGTGTTTCCATGAGAAAAATACATTAAAAAATTCACACCATACACTAGGAACGAACAGCATGTGCTCCATCGCTTGTCTCAAATATATTCAAGTTACACAAGTCAAACACCACCTGTAATTCCCCCAAAAGGAAACACGTTTACGTTTCAGTAATTGCCAACCAGGGAAGAACTTGTATATTTTATCTGTCAGTGTTACTCAAATACAACCCAATCCTAGAACTAACGTTTTGTCCTCTTACAGTTGCTAGAACCTGTCTGTCACCAGCTCTTTGAATTCTATCGCAGTGGAGAGGAGCAGTTACTCCGATTTACACTGCAGTTTCTTCCAGAACTGATTTGGTGCTACCTTGCGGTCTCAGCCAGCAGAAATGTGCATAGCAGTGGATGCATTGAAGCTCTTCTCCTAGGGGTTTACAATTTGGTTTGTATTTAATGTGGTTAGCAAAATGTTTTTTGGCAAAAGCAAATACATAAGCTTTTCAGCAAAAGCAAATACCTAATAGCAACTACTTTTCATGTTTGTAAAGCTAATATTTGTTTTTTGTACGTCAAATAACTTAGCTCATTCTTCCAAACATAACTTTATGGCGCTTGAGGGCTTATACGGGCATACATATAATTATGTAAATAAATCTTTTGGAATTGACTGAAGACTGAAAATCAGACCAATTCTTTTATGGAGGGATCTGAAAATGTAATTATTGAAGTTAAAAATTTTTAAACTTAAAATCCATTGCCTATAAATTGTTTTGTAGCCTCCACAAAAAGTTTAGGAGAGAAAATTTGATTTAACATCTACCACTAATAATTCTGTAAAATCTGGACTGTCTCCAGAGTTTATAGCATTGATTTAACATGTAATTGGAATTACTAATAGTATTTGTATATTAATTATTATGACATTCTATATACTTAAGGTTTCTACTTTTTAAAATGGAAAAAAAAATTGAGCCTTTTCTTAACATATTTCATAACTGTGTCAATTGATTTAGAAAATGTAACTTTTTACATTAAGACATTACATCTGTATTTCAGCCATCCTTAAAATTATGTGTTACTTATATTTTAAAAGTGGAAGGTGTTTGTGAATAATTGATAATGGATTATCATAATTTAAGATTTAAGCTGACTTTAAAATTCTTTTTTTTTTAGGTCTTTTTTTTTTTAAGAATAATTTAAATTTAGCTTTAAATTTATGTGCGAAAAATAAATATTTTAATATACTTTCTTTTACTTTTGTAGGAAATAGTTGACAAACAGGGACATAGCAAAATATTGAGTTTTACGATTCCATCTTTATCCAAACCGTCTGTGTATCATGAAGTAAGTGACATTTTATCAAAGAATGCTTATTGTTGCTATCTGAAGTTGCCATAAATTAGGGTGTGGTTATTGAGGCAAATTTTTTTGATCAATTTATTAGTACCTCAAGTATAAAACAATAAAGTATTTGCTATTTCCAAATTTGAAATGAGAAATAAAAATCATTAAAGTTTAAAATCTGATTGTAAGAGATGTATTCAAAGTATTCATTTTGAAATATTTTTCTCCCCTTCCAATGGATAAGACTAGTCTATTTTTTTTTGTAGCAATTATGTATTTTCATGGTAGAATTTTTGAAGCTAACCTATTATTTCTATTTGTAGTTTGGTTGTTAATTATTTATTAAATCTTTGAGCAGAAAATTTAATAGACAATCTGAATATTTTTAAGATATATGATCATGGCAATTATTCTTAGTGGTGTATGTATTCTAAGTATCACATATTTAACAGAAGATTTTTTATTTCTTCTTTATTCAAATGTCTTATCTTTAGCCTTCCAGCATTGGGTCCATGGCTCTGACTGAAAGTGCACTATCCCAGCATGGTTTGTCAAAAGTGGTGTACAGTGGACCTCACCCCCAAAGGGAGATGCTGACAGCACAGAATAGGTATACTGTCAAGATATAACCTACACTACTACCGCACTGATAAAAAAAAAATTTCCAGCAGATTTATAAATAATGTTTAATGAGTTGTATATAGCAATTTTTAAAAATATTGAGTCATTGTACAAAAGAAAAAACACATCTTCCTGATTTGTCACTTACACTTTGCTTTAGATGTCATTGGAAACATCAAATTTTTAAGGAAATTTTCACATGACTGTTACTTGGGAAGTCATCTTTTTCCTTTTAGTTTAGTTTAGTTTTGTTTTTTTAATATATCTTTACTGATTTCAGAGAGAGGAAGGGAGAGGGAGAGAGAGAGATAGAAACATCAATGATGAGAGAGTCATTGATCGGCTGCCTTCTGCACGCTCCCTACCAGGGATTGAGCCGCAGCCCAGGCATGTGCCCTGACCGGGAATCAAACCGGGATCTCCTGGATCCTAGGTTGATGCTCAAACACCGAGCCACGAGAGCTGGGTTCCTTTTAGTTTTGTATTGTTATTGTGATTATTTTGTACAGGCCTGTTCTATAACATAACACCTCTTCCCAGTGCCTGCTTAATTACGGATGACTTAGAAATCTAAGGATTTGTAACTATTCTTTTGTTTATCTTTAGGTTTGAAGTGTTGACATTCCTTTTGTTGTGTTACAATGCTGCCTTAACCTATATGCCCAGTGTTTCTCTTCAATCATTGTGTCAGATTTGTTCAAGGTAAATTAAAATTTTAATATTGAAGTATATGAATCTAGAGTTGCTAGTTTGTTATATATCTAAGTTATTTTTGTTTTATCATTTGTTTAAACATTAAATAAGTTAATATGAAGTTCAGCCTAGCCAACACATAGGAAGTTTCTTATAAATTATAGTAACAAAAAACACAAGAGGGTAAAGTTGAATAGTATTCAATGGGATATTTCATTAGAAAAGGCTCATACTATATAATTAAAAGGATGGAGGTGTTATGTATTTCAGTATTTGGCATGTGGTTGGTTTCTCTTTTGTTTGCTTACTTATTTTACAAAAATTATTATGTATTTCTGTTGTACTTTAACTTGGTACCAAGAAATAAGTAAGATATACTGGTTTTTAAACTTTCCTTGTTTAAAAAAATTGAGCCAATGGATTGGTTAAATAAATTATGATAGTGCTTAGGTATACTATGCAAACATTTAAAAATTCCAATTTAAAAAGATGCTTGCTGGTAGATTATATATGCTCTGACTCCAGCATTGACTCTGCATGACAGTAGTTACTTCTGATCGGTAGGATTAGGGTTTGTTTTACTTTTTCCTGTGTGGTTTTCTGTCCTTTTCTCAATTTGCTGTAACGGACATGTTACCTTTTTAAAAAAAATAACAAATTGAAACAAAAAGACACAGAAAATGTCTTTAGTAATTCAAGCAAATGGGGAAAATAGAGAATTAGGGAGCCTGTAAAATAATTTAGATTTGGGGGACTTATATAGAAAATGTAACTTTGAAATGTTAGTAAGAGGGAGGCTGCAGAGTGCAATACTCAGAAATCAAAACAAAACAGAAAAGCAGAAATCGATCCTGAGTAGGATAGAAAACTGTACAGGACCAGGGAGAAAAGGTTGATGTAAGGAGAGGTGCTTGCCAGAGAAGGTGGAGATGTGCAAAGCTAGACAATTCCTGAATTAGCCTAATTACATTTCCTAGACCTTGGAAGATGATACCCATGTGCCATCTCTCCCACTTACTGAGTTTCTCTAATGTGTTTCTTGTTTTAAATCCTTTAAAGTCACAGGTGCCCAGACTTTTGAATTTTACAAGATCCATAAAATTTCAAAAAAAGCTGGAGTGGGTGGAGTATCTACACAGTGTTGCCAATGTTTTATCTTGCCAACTGGTATTATAAATATCTACCATCAACATTATTTAACAAAACAGAGAGTATTTTAATATGAAAAAGCAGGGAGAGGAAAAGGGAAGAAGAATAATTTATAAATTAAAAATGGGATGTTTTGTCTTTATTTCTCATTTCACTGTGATCTAGTAAACTGTTATGGACTAAAATGAGGATAAGGGCCAACACTTCAGAAAAGCTCTCTTAAGGAGTGACTTGATGCCGCCGTTTTCACCTTTAGAACTTAAGGCAGATGACAAAGTCCAGCTTCTACTCTGAAGCAGTGTCTTATGTGGTAGGACCCAGGAATGATGATACAGATATAGATATATAGAGACATCTATACCATGTATCTGAAACTTAGCATCTCCTAAAACAGTGTGTCTTATTTGTCCAAGTTCATTTAATGACACTGCCATCCAGACGACTATCCACACTAGTGTAGGAATAAGTATACTCCTATTATTCCTTTATCCCCACTCTTGATTTTACTTTCTAGATGTGACTCCAACCCCACCCTTAACTCCTCCCCACGATACTTCTTTAATTCGGCTCACTTCATCTCACTTGTGGGGTATTTGACACTCTCCTCTCCCGTTTCAGTGACCTCTTCCAGGATAACCTGAGTGATATAATCAAAAGACCAATCTGATCATGTCACTCCCTTGCTTAAAACAACAAAACAAAAACCTTTAGTTAGTTGCTTCTCACTGCCTACATAATAAAGCCTCGCTGATTATAAGATATGCTGTGATCTGACCCCTTGCTAGCTGCTCCATTATTTTCTAGTGTCCTAGCATTCTGTCCCACTAGAATTGCCTATCTCCCTGAGGGCGTGCTGTTTCATCCTTTTATCTTCAAGGCTCTGTCCAAAGGAATATCTTTCTGGGAAGACTTCTCTGACCTTCTGCTTCTTCCACTAGAGTTTTCCACTCTCTGCTTTTGTTACCTCTGTAACTTGTTCATTGCAGATATTTGTTTACTATTCAATCTCCATGGTTAAATTGTGAATCCCTGTGGGTGCTACAGCTTTCACCTATATCCCTAGTGTCTGACACAATATAAATCTTCAATAAGTATTTACTGAATGAATAAATAAATTGAAAAATTCTATCTTTCATATATTGGTTCTCTGTTATTTACTACCACCCCTATCATAAAGGTGCAAGGTGTAAGAAAGTAAGATGGCTCTAAGTTTGATTTTTTAGATGATAAGAGTAAGAGGAGTCTATTCTAGTTTAGATTTAAGTTTTTGTAATAGCAAGAAACATTTGAATTGGTTTTATTTCACATCCAGCTAATTTTTCTCAGTTTCTGTCTTAGTCACCTCAAGCTGCTATAACAAAATACCATAGACTGAGTGGCTTAAACAGTAGACATTTATTTCTCACAGTTGGGGAGTCTGGCAGATCGAAAGTGTAAGTGCCAGCAGATTTGGTTCCTGGTGAATGCCATCTTCCTGGCTTGCAGGCTACTGCCTTGTCATCGTGCCTCCACATGGCAGACACCTCTGGTCTCTCTTCTTCTAAGGGCACTAACCTCATGGTGGGTGCCTCACTTTCATAACTTCATCTAAACCTAGTTACTCCCAAGGGTCCCATCTCCAAATATTACCATATTGGGGAATTAGGTCTTCAACATGAATTTGAGGGGGACACAAATATTCAGTCCATAAGTATCCCTGCTCCCCTTTACCCTTGGTTCTAAAGAGTTTTAAGATCCTTTCAATATAAAATGAATTGATATTTACTCTTTAAAGTTGCTTTGAATTAATGATATCCTCAGGGGGATATTTTTGAAATGGTCTGTGGTATACTTGGGCATGTTTAAGGAAAGGCTTAGGTTCCTTGAGTAGAGGAAATATTAAGTTCTAGGTAGTAATTGCATGGGGGGAAGGAGTAAATAATTACTATGTATTGACTAGTACTGTATTAAGTAATGGTTATATTATATCAACCACAGCACATTATGAAAAAACAGCTATTTTCCCATTTTATTAAAAATAGAAACTTATAAAAGGGACATCTGTAATATTAAAAAAAAAATAGAATCTTACTCTTTATTTTAAAAGCAGTGCATGTTGATTATAGAAAATTTAGAAAATACATAAAAATATAAAGAAGAAAGTACATCACCTGGCTGGATGGCTCAGTTAGTTGGAGAATTGTCCTGCACACCAAAAAGTTTTGGTTTCAATCCCTGATTTGAGGTGCTTATGGGAGGCAGATAATCCATGGTTCTCTCACATCAATATTTCTCTTTCTCTCTGTCTCCCTTCGTCTCTTTTAAAAAAAAAATCAATTAAAAAAAAACCTAACATATCCTCAGGTGAGGATTAAAAAAAGGGAAGAAAATACTGCTATAATCCCACAGCTCAGAGATAACTCTCTGACTTTGTATATGATCTTTTTATAGTGACACATGCCATTCACATATTTGTTTATTGTAAAACCAGATTAGGCTTCATGTGTTGTTTTGTACAATTTTTTTCCCTGTCATTTAAGTAGACTTTCAAAACATCATGTTTAATTGTTTCATAGTATTATCTGAGTGATTTAGAATTGGTTCCCTGTGTTGGACTTTGGGTGGCTTCCTATTCATTATAATAAGTACTCCTTAACTTTAATACTCATTAAATATTCTTCACTATAATAAATACTTCTTTACGTTTCAATTTTTTTAAAAAAAAATATATCTTTATTGATTTCAGAGAGAGGAAAGGAGAGGGAGAAAGGGAGAGAAACATCAATGATGAGAGAGTCATTGATCGGCTGCAGCCCACAACCCGGGCATGTGCCCTGACCAGGAATCGAACCCTGATCGCCTGGATCCTAGGTCAACGCTCAACCACTGAGCCACGCCCGGCTGGGCTACATTTCAATTTTTTATGATAGTTTCTTTAAAAATTTTTGGTAAAAATCGATTGATCTTTCTTTAGGATTCTACCTTTGTTATCATGTTTAGGCATTCAAAGAATATGTATTTGCTTCTGTTTTATTTCTCATGGTTTTTAACATTGAAAATTGCAACCTATCTTTAGTTTATTAATCTTTAAAAGATGGCATTTAAATTCCGTCAGCATTTAAATTCGGCCAGCGGGACCCACTCCTTGCCGGGAACTAAAGTTCCCTTTCATCAGATAAAAGTTAAGATATGTACTGTGTGATGTTTGAGTCTAATTTTAGAGGGTTTTTTTTGTTTTGTTTCATTTTGTTTTTTTGTTTGTATGTTTTTGAAGCCTACAGTTTGTGACAAGAATTTTGTCAGAGATGGAGAATCACACCACAGATCTATTGATGATAAATAGTGCTGAGTTCCATGTAATAAGTTTTACAGTGACCAAAAATTATTAATAATTGAATTGATCAAAATTAGTGAATCAACTTAGAGAATCTGGTTCACTTACTATATACTAACATCCCTCTAGCTCTATACATTTTTCCCCCAGGCTGATTTGCTCAGGAAAATGTTACAGACAGATGTCCTGTTTGGGAAGATTCTTTGTTTCATAGCTGTTAGGTTTGTTTAGAGAAGAGAGCATACCTAGTATATTGATGGCTTATAAATGTTCAAAAGTAAATTACCTAAATTTTTAACAATTTTACAAATATATTTATTTTTGGTCTTTCTAGAATCTGTGTTTGTGGATATCCCAGACAACATGTCAGAAAATACAAAGGTGTAAGTAGCAGGATACCAGTTTCTTCAGGATTCATGGTGCAGATGTTAACAGGGATTTATTTTGCTTTGTAAGTTTATTTCATATACAAAGTAAACATTTGATCTTTTTGGAAAATTGTAGTTTGTTATTTTATTGTTACTATATACTTATCTCAATAGATAAACAATTGGCATATTTTTGTGAAAGAATATCAATCAAGATCTTGATAATAGAGCTTATTATTTCAAATATATCTTTTAATGTTCTGAAGAATTTGTATTCAATTGAAACATTTCATCATTTTTTAAAAATTTAAGAACAGAATGAAAATTAGTAACACCTAAATATACTCACAGTTCCTTTTTTCATTACTCTTTTTTGCTGTAATTTCCAAATAGCTCCCTGCCAATGAATATCTTTTTCCATTCTAGAAATTTTAACTCTTGAAAAAACAATTTAGAGCCTCTTTGATCACAAATAATTTATTAATTTCTAATATTGATGCTCAGCCTTAATGCCTTAGCTACTAGTATTTTTCTCTGAACCCTATCTTTTATAATTCTTTTTTTCCCCTTTTTTATTGGATTTATTGAGGTGACATTGGTCAATAAAGTTATTTAGGTTTTAGGTATAAATTCTATAATGCATCATCTGTATATTGTATTGTGTTTTCAGTACCCCAAGTCAAGTCTCCTTCCATCACCATTTATTCCCCCTTTTACCCTCCTCTATCTCCCCTACCCCCCTTTCCCTTTGGTAATCACCATATTATTGTCTGTGTCTATGAGGTGTTATTGTTTTTTCTTAATCGCTTCACCTTTTTACTTAGTAATTCTTTTGATCACAATTTATTATTAATTTGCTATTTATTCTATTAATTTCTAACTAGTATTTAATTGCTTAGATATTAGTATTTTTCTTTAAACCCTATCATTTACTTGGTGATTCTCTTACTACACATATCTTACTATACTTTGTATTATATTCACTTGATACTTTAATTTCCCTAGTAGATTATAATCCTTTTGACAGAAGGCAGAATTTATTATCTTTGGGTCAAATCTGGCTTGCTGCCGATTAAAAATTTTTTGTTGTTGAAACACAGCCACATCCATTTGTTTTCATATTGTCTATGGCTGCTTCTGTGCTATAGTGACAGAACTGAGTAATTATAATAGAGACTGTATGGCCCCCAAGCCAAAAATATTCATTATCTATTCCTTTAAGAAAAAGTTTGTTGACCCATGTGTTAAACCTTTAATATTGTCCCATTCTACGCAACACACACTTTTCCCCCAATATATTGCTCATGTTTGCAATGTACATCATGTACACTTCTAAATGACTATCAAAATGCAAAGAAGTAACTCCTTAGGGTACTGCAAGCCACAGTAGTTGTGGATTCCCATTAAAAGCTGTGGGAGTTACTGAATAATTTGAGCATAAAGTGTTGGAACATTATTCTAAGGTATATAATTTATTATGTTCTGACTTGCTTTGAAAGTGTAAAATGCTTTGAAATTCCCTGGCTTTTTTGATATCTGTTCCTTAAATAGAAATGTCTTTAGAGAAGAAATGTATATCTACCAAATGTTATTTTCTACTTATTGGCTTTCAGATACAATTGAAAGGAATTCAAAGATTTAAATATATGTTTTTAAGGAGTGTGGAATGCTGAGCAATGTGCTAATCTGACCGATTATTTTCCTCAGTAAAGATAGTTTCTCATTGTATTTTATTCAATTATATAGAATTAATTTAAACTAATTATATTTTATTTATTTAATTTTATAGTTATAATGGAGAGTGGGATCTAGCTCAAAAAGCATTGGATGATATTATATACAGAGCCCAGTTAGAGTTATATCCAGAGCCATTGCTGGTAAGTGCCTCACTTACTTACGCAATTTTTTAATTTAAAAATTCCCAAATTAGAACTATAAATTGAGGAATTCATAGTACATTAATATGTCATTAATACTCAGTGATTCATGCTCCTGTTATACTAGGAAAATTTTATACTTGAAAAGGTATATATATAAAATAAAATTTGAAAATTTCATTTAACTAACTTCTTGGATACCTGGTAAATAGTGTTTTTAACTTATAAGAATGTTCTCCTTAACATGCTAGAGCTACATTTATTAGTTAGCATTAGGCGTTTGGAAATATAATTCGATCTTTGGAAATTTCATCTCTTACATGTTGTATTTAACTGTACGTTTTCCCCTGAGCTCGTACTCCTTATTCCGGAGGGTTTGTGTATCATCTTATGGAATACCTTAGAGAAAGTGTTCTTTTTAAAACCTGTTAAAATTGAACACTTTGTCTTATCTAAGGGTATAATAATACATTTTTAAATACCAATCTTAAACTGTTATGTTTCCTTCTTAGGTTGCTAATGCAATAAAGGCTTCATTGCCTCACGGTGCCATGAAATCTAGTAAGGAGGGTACAAGGTGTATTCAAGTTGAAATCACACCAACTTCCTCTAGAATATCAAGAAATGCAGTAACCAGCATGTCAATAAGAGGTCATAGGTGGAAAAGACATGGTAAGAAATAAAAACCTCTACACATTAGAGGACTGTTGAGTCTATCACATTTTTCTCTGTCCTTACGGTGCTATAATTCCTGGCTTTAGTAAACGGTATCATAGTGGCATGGAAAAGAGTTGTTGGGTCACTTTTAACTTCTAATTTACTGTCAGTGAGTGACAGGCTACAAGGAAAATACAGCCCCTTATGTTACATATACAAATGAAAGTTTATTTAAACATTGGCTTTTAAATTATATTTCAATAGGGAGAAAAGTATGAAAATGCATGTAAAAGTTATCCATACATTTTGAGTTTCTTTTCACAATTACTTGCAAATATTTCTTAATGTTTCTGATTTCTCAACTAGCCTTCTAGTAGGTTCACTTGCATATTGAAGTAGAGCGGCAAATAGGGACTTCAGCATTTCTTCTGGGTTTCCTGTAAAGGATATCATAGTACTGATGCAACTCTGGGCATTTCTGTTTTCTGGAAGTTAATTTTCTTCCACGATTGTTTGTTTTAATATTCCTTCTTTAGTGCTTCATTTTATTATTTGAAAATTCTATTGGAAGTTAATTTATTCACCATGGTCTTCTCAGTGCTCTCTTATTTCTCTTCCTTCTAATTAATTATTTCTTATTTAATTTCTTGTTCTTTTTATAACTTCCCTCCTACCTGGAAGTTATTGTAGTGGCAGATATCAGTGTATAAGAAGATTGCTGTCACCTTTCTCAGGAGGTAATAATAGAGTGGGAGGCACAAAGTCCCTTCTCTGCCTAAGCAAACATTGATTAGGAGTAAAGCAAAACCAATTCTCTACTTTCCTCTTCCCTTAAACTGATGAAAATGGCAGCTCCTTTTGGAATATTTAATTATATTTGTCCCTATGGTCTCTGTAGAGAAATGCAAAAGTGAGAAGAATGAGATTATTTATGGTGAAACAAAGCTGATGATGAGGAAAGTTGCCATTGTTTCTTCTCCCGGGAAACCAGGAGATAGGATGTCAGATAAAGAGTGGTGGTGAAATTTCCCAGCTTCATCAATGATCATTTCGAACCTTCTTCTTTTTAGAGTGTGACAGTTCTTGAAGGCATAAGAAAGATGGTAATGTTTGCCATTAGCAAGGCAAATCATGTTACTATTTAAAACAAACAGTCAGACACTTCAGTCTCTTCAGTGAAAATTATGTTACTGAATGGAACTAGATTATAGGTAGAAAGCCATCTAATTAGACATGGTGGTACCCTCGAAATCAGTGGTTTGTTTTGACATAAATAGGTGAACATAGGCACAGAGGCAACAAACCAGATCATGTGGGTCATTGTGGCCATAATGGCTCCCAAATTACCACTCTAGGAAATGTAAGAATGAATTTTAATTCCCTTTCCACTTTCCTTTCTTGCTATTTAAGTGGACATATTGGGAATTAGGAAAAAATATATAGATCCTTCAGTTAAAAATGTAAAATATTGAAGCTCAATTGTATTTGTGCATGTGTGAGAGAAAAAGCTGTGTGGCTGTCCATGCATGCATTTAGCAGAGTAAGATAGGCACCCTGCAGTCAAATGTATGGCATTTTCCAGAAGTAACTTTAAAGAAATAAATCGCCAAAACAAGAGAAAAGACTGCTTGAGGTATCTGGTATCTGTTAGATACTTACATGCTTTCCAGATTACATTTTGGCCCCCACTTGGGCATTTGGCACCTAGTGCTACAGCCTCATTACAGTAACCTTATTATCTATTCCCCTACGCTTATTCAAACTCACAACTCTAACACTTGGGCAACTTCTGTTTTATGGTAACAAAAGTCACAGATAAAGATTTAGAAGAGAATGAACTGTAGAAAGAAGTCAGGTGCATGGAGCAGATACAAAATATAGCTTAGTCCTGTTTACCACCCTACTGTAGTACGAGTTCTAGGTTGCATTCCCTCTTTTTTAATGTAGACTTGGCTTTCCTTTTTATAGCAGTATTTTCTGTTGTTACCCTGTTCGCCTGCATTAAAGACTTCTCAGTTTTCCATCTTTGTTGTCTTGAGTCCTACTTGAACACTTTATTGTCGCTCTGAGCTCTTTAGCTGACACTGGCTTCTTACGGGGAAGATAAGGTATCATTGCTATAGTTCTGAAATATAGAAATAATACATTAATTTTTGCAGAAACAATGCTAAAGGGCTTATAGATTCCGGAGTGACCCACAAAAGCCTTTTCATCGCATAATGTTTCTGAAGCAGATGGCTATTGACTGTAGGTTAGTTTATGACTGTGTGAAAACACATTTAGAGTTTATTTGATGGAACGCTAATGTGTTTCTTATTCCACTTATATCTCTACTACTCCCTTACCACACCAAACCTCCCACGAGGAGGGATTTCTTCCCAGACTCCAACTATATCACACAGCAGGAACATGGAATATACAACTTGAAGCCCATGATAATTACGATTGGGGAAGGAGGAGGGAGAAGCTGCATGAACTTTAAGGAATATTCTTTTTCTTTTTCTCCTTGCCTCTTTCTTTGTTACTGCCAGTGCTGGGAAAGAAGAAAGCCATTGGGCCTCCTTTCCCCCTTTTTCTCTTTTATTTATGTTTTTTTAAAATTGAGATATAATTGGCATGTAAAATTATGTTAATTCAAAGTGTGCAATGTGATGATTCAATATATGTATATATTGCAAAATGATCACCACAGCACATCTAGTTAACATCCATTGCCACACATACTCACAAATGTTTTTTTCTTGTGATGAGAATTTTCAGATCTATTCTCTTAGCAACTTGCAAGTATAAAATACTGTTTTATTAACTTACAGTCACCATGCCACCTGCATTACATCACCAGGACTTACTTTTTTTTTTTTTTTTTTAATAACTGGAGGTTTTTACTTTATTGACCAGTAGACCACTTTCACCCATATTCCCCCCACCCCCCCCAGTGCTCCCCAATCACCAGTCTGTTCTCTGTATCTATGAGTTTGGTTTTTTTATTTGTTTAGATTTCACATATAAGTGAGATCATATGGTATTTATCTTTCTCTGTCTGACTTATTTTACTTAGCATAATTCCCTCAAGGTCTATCCATGTCATCACAAATGATAGGATTTCCTTTCCTTATTTTTTATGGCTGAATAATATTCCATTGTGTATGTACCACATTTATGTTTTTTAAATATATTTTTATTGATTTTTTTCCTTACCACTTCAAGATTCTCTTATATAATCTATATCTGTTTCCTTAAGCTTTTCCATTTCCTCTCCTCTTCCAGAGCAAATTTAATTGCTACTTTTTTGTCCACTTTACCATGGCCATGACTCACTCTAATTTTAAAAAAATTATCTATACGTGGAATAATGTAACCAACTTTCCTCCTTTTTTTATTTTAATTTTTTTATCTTCACCCAAGGATATGTTTATTGATTTTAGAGAGAGAGGAAGTGGGAGAGAGAGAACATGAGAACATTGTGCCCCAACCAGGGATCAAACCGACAGTGTGGGTACGTGCCCTGACCAGGATAGAACCCGAAGCCTTTGGTGCATGGGACGATGCTCCGACCAACTGGGCCACCCGGCCAGGGCCAGCATTCCTCCTTTTAAAATAGTTGTTGAAATACCACCTCTTCATTCTATAAAAGTCCCTAATTAAGTTATGATTGCAAATAATGAGTGCTTTAGCTTTTGCCAACTAGTTAATAAAAAGGCTTATCTGGTGAAACCCCAGTTCTGTGTTACTGCTCACCATTCTTTCCACCTGTGCATTTGTGAGCTAATGAGACAAGGAAGTGAAAAGCACTTAGCACGCTTTAAAGCACTACAACCGTTTGGAACCGGTAGGTATCAGTAATAAAAGCAATATTTGTAAACTAGATCCTTTCAATTTTGTCCTACATTGGGGCCTGGCACATTATTTTGATAACATTGCATTTCATTATTTTGATTTAGGGGATCCAAGAGTACAAAGTTTTAAGTAGTGAAAAAGGAATTGAAAATAAAACTATATATATTTTTAAGTTCTCTAACAGTAATACAAAATAAGTACCATGGGAATTTTAGAGTAGTTAATTACATGGAATATTTTAGTGAAAAATCAAACAAAATACAATTTACATAAGTGAATTTTACAATTTACATAAGTGAGGTTTTGTGTTGTTACAGCAGTTTTATTGCATTTTCAGTATGAAGTTTCTATTTAAATGATGCCAAGGTGTTTAAATAAAAATAAATGAGTGTAACAAAATTCAGAGTCCTGTGATTATGTCTTTTAAAAATGACAAAAAATGTGATTTATTTCAGTTTGTTCAGTGGTTTAGTACTAACTTATTAGATGAGAAAAGAAAAGGAACAATAAAAAGTAGCAGTTCATTTTGGAAAATAATTTTTAAAAAACTGCTTGTCAATTTAGAAAATGTTAAATTTCTGTTGTATAATAACATTGATGAAACAGGACATTACTAACTTTCTAACTGTTGAACACATCTGAATAATTATAAGAAGTGTATTTCAGTTAAGTATTTTAAATATTATTACTTATAAATGTTTCAAAACATTTAAAGTAGTCTTCTTTCTAGATACTGCAATATCTTTCTAGATATCCATAAGCCTTGAGATAGAACATTTATTTTGTGAATCTGACTTTCTATCACTTTATGAGAAAAGCATTTAGTGGAAACAAAGTTGCTAATGGTTATAAAAAGCATTTTGAAAAATGCAGAAGTGATCAAAGTAGCAAACGTTAAAAAATTGGCTATTGGAATTTTACTTCTGCAATTAGAAATGTATAATGTTTATGTTTTTAACTTAAAAGTTGTCTATACTTATTAAGGAAATTTAGGGGGGGGGAAACTAGCAGTTTTATAAAAAGGTATAAGTGTTTTTAGTGTAATTTGAGAAGCCCCATTATTTTCAGACTCTAAAATGCTATTTGAGGAACAAATTTTCCTTTCCCAATATAGAGGATAAAACATTTAGACCAAAAATAAGCATTTCCTTCTGGCCAAAGTTAGCATTGCATGAACT